AGGAGAGGAGAGACGAGGAGAGACGAGGAGAGACCTCTGGGAAGAAACTGAGAGGCCAGCTCCAATGGGAAAGGAGTCTTAGATGACCAGTTCTGCTCAGAGCTCTAAAAGCAGAATGGAAAGTACCTGCTGAAAAAGGCATGAAAGCATCATTCTTTACAAACTTCCCCTTTGAGTCGAGGAAATGTTCAGGGTAGAATATGTCAGGTTTCTCCCACTGGGATTTGTCTCGCAGGACAGAGGCCAGTAAGGGGATGATGTAGGTTCCCTGCAAGCCAAGACAGAGAATTTATTGCACTGAGGATGATGTTGCTGTCATCACTGGAGTGACGACGAGTGGTGGAGGTCAAGACATCCACTTTAATAGGGGACGTCCTGTCAAAGTAGCTGTGAGAACCCCAGTGTGAACAAGGATCCTCGGACACAAGTAGGGCTTGAAAGGGAGTGTTACACTGGGAATGGAGAGAAGAAAAGTAGTGCAGAAGTTGTCTCACCTTGGGAATGAAATAGCCTTTGAGCGTGACATCTGCAGTAGTCTCATGAGGTAGGTTCAATGGCAGGATATTAGCAAATCTTTGAATTTCATGGATGACAGCATCAGTATATGGCATTTGAGTTCGATGCTCAATTCGTGGGGGGTTTGACCCTATCACTTGCTCTATCTCTTCTTGGACTTTTTCTGTGAAAGGAATAGGGATCAATCATGGACACATCACTTGAATGTCTATTTCTTCTGCTAGGAATAGGAGGATGTGGAGAATTCACTACTTTTTCAGCCCTGCTCAATATGAAGTCATATTTGATGTGACATGATGAGAAGGGAACTGCTGATTGCATAGTTTGCACTTACTCTGAATTTCAGGATACTTCATCATGAGCAGAAGGCCCCAGCGTAAAGTGGTCGACGTGGTCTCCATACCAGCTACAAACAGATTTCTCACAACCTCAATTAAATTTTCATTATGGAAATATCCATTGGCATTTCCATTTTCCTGGTGATATGAAACAGTAATAATATCAGTTGATTAAAGATTCAAGAAGGCACTTTCCATTGGAGAACAGGGAAAAACTTTCATATTCAGCCCTCAGGAAGGACTTAAGTGTAAAGGATAAGAAGGTTTTTAGGGGATGCCTTGGGAAAACTATTCTAAGGGTGGAGGGTCTTTGGGTGGAGTGATTGGACTGGCTGTGCTGCCCACAACAGGGGGCAAGGGTTTTCACCTTGGATAATGTCAGTGATTGCAGTAATGTTTTGGAAATCAGTGAGCAGTCACTGGGGCCATCCATGTGATTCAATCATTTGCTTCACAGTTTTTCTGTCCATGGGCCATGGACCAAAGCATTTTGTAGGATGATGTTTGTTGGGAAGAAGAATAAATTTACTGTCAGTGCTGAGTTTTGACATGGATTCAAGAGGTACTTAGGACTTGGCCCATGATGATTGGCCATGATCTCTGCTGATGGCTCAAAGGCTGAGAGAATTGGGCTTGTTCAGCCTGGAGAAGAGAAGGCTCTGGTGAAACCTTATTGAAGCCCTCCAGTACCTGAAGGGGCTACAAGGAAGCTGGGGGGGACTTTTTACAAGGACCTGTAGTGACAGGACAAGGGGTAATGGGTTTAAACTGAAAGCGAGTAATTTTAGATTAGATATCTGGAAGAAATTCTTCACAGAGAGGATGGTGAAGCACTGGAACAGGTTGCCCAGAGAAGCTGTGGATGCCCCATCCCTGGATGTCTTCAAGGCCAGGCTGGATGTGGCTTTGAGCAACCTGGTCTAGTGCAAGGTGTCCCTGCCCATGGCAGGGGGGTTGGAACTAGATGATCTTTAAGGTCCCTTCGAACCCAAACCGTTCTATGATTCTGTGATACTGCCTTTACCTGCCACTCACACCAAAAGAGAGCCTAGGAGGGTAGTTCATGTTCCTCTGTAATCACACAGCCAACCCATGCTTTTGCTACAGCAGACTTAGGGTGAAATCTTATGAGGCTGGCCACACTACACAGAGTTGAGGGCTGGGTACAAACAGTGTCACATTTTTACAA